TTTATATGTATATAAATATATATATATATATATATATATAGATAGATAGGCCCCGAGAACAAACATTCCACCCCCCACACACCCCACACAGAATCGTGCAACGCTCACTGTGCACTTGCACGCTTCCGTTAATCCGTTGCTTAGCAACCGAGCCGCTTGTCTCACGCCTGTTTTAGTACCAAACTATCAGTAGCCTCTCAGAACGCCACTGTGATAAGGATATGCGTTAAACGTATAAGTCACTTACCTGTCCTGGCACAGGGACTGTAGACCCGGCTAGAGTAAACTTTTGGCCCTCCACGGTGTATGTGAGGGGTCGTGGTACAAACTCGCCTTTGAAGAGCTCATGCTGATCAGCTGTGGCATATCGGCGTAAACGGGATGAGTGCGTCAGCGCATTGACTGGGGTCATGCAAGGTACACGGGTATGTGCTGTGTGTGGGGGTGTGATCTATAAGCGAGTGTAAGTATTGTGGGAATGTGCGGAAGTCAGGTACGAACTCTTTGGCTGTGTGACGTATACGTGTATATGTAATGTGGTATGAACTCTTTGACTGTGTGACGTATACGCGTGTATGTAATGTGGTACGAACTCTTTGACTGTGTGACGTATACGTGTGTATGTAATGTACGTGGGAATATAAGCGGTCAGTAGGCAGAGTGGTGTGGTACAGTAGCCATCCGAGGTGCAATGAATCACAGACGGCTGCGACGACATACTCCCCTGGAACACTCCACATGATGTGTGGATACAAGCAACACACACCAACGTACAATCAGGCGAGTATATGCTCTACACTCCAGGCCTCAGTCGTGCAAACTGCCGGGTACAGGCATGTTGGGTGGTCCTGTAGTAGGTATACCGGATCATATGCGTAACTGTGTATGGACAGGCTATACAGCTACAGCGCCCTATCGGCGTACGTGGTAGGCTGGTGTAGGTGATTCGTTTGTCAGGGCATGTAGCAACATAGTGGAAACATAGTAGATACACGCACACATATATATATATATATATCATAATACACATCGCCTAATATAACATATACTCCCCATACACACCTCTCTTCGTATA